TTTACTATCAACCTAACAAGGGTAGGGTAAACAGGATGAAAAATAACAAAGAGCTTTATTTCTACATCCTCATATCTAGACAGCTTAACGAAGAGACATCTTAAGTCATGCTAAGACTAATGGAGACATGTTAACTCATGCTCAGGCTAATGGAGACTGGAGCTTCTTCTTGCTCTGTACAAAGGGTATAAAATGCTAATTCTAGGTACTCTATCTTCCAATCAGGACAACAAACTACATCTCAATCTGGTGGGCTTTCTAGCTCTCTAAGCAGATAGGATACAAACAAACATGTGGTTCAGTACACAGTATTAACCCAGTGAATACTAAATAGAAGTGTTCTGACTTGTAACATCCAACAATAATTTCCCTGCCTATAAGTCTGCCCTTCTTACCTTATCCAGAGGGATATATTTTAACAGTTCTCAAAGACGCATTTTCTTATAGCCATCTGACACCCAGCACTGGAAATACCCTCTTTGCAATTGGCAGAAGACATTTTCAGTACAAAGTAAGCCTGCCCATGGCAGGTAGTTTGGTGCTCATATTGTTTTCTACTCCATGCTGCCAGTCATGTGACTACAGAGATGACCACTTGAAGAACACAAATTATAGATACGCAAAACATTCTTCCTGCAGTTTTGGGAATATATGAATTGGGTATATATGAATTTGAAGTCTGTAGTACATGGATGACAAAGAACTGAGTAGGGGCACCAGGTGGCACTGGAATGAGAGACCAGGTGCAGCTAAGGTGCTTCAGAAAAGACATTGCTGCAGTGGGCCTTTGGCTGGAACCTACTTTGGCGTCTCTTATGTTCTTATGTAGATGTGTGTCTTCAGCCATACCTCCCCAGATGATCTTGTTTCTGTATGCTTGTGAAAATGAGATCTCTAGACCTGAGGGAAGATCTGGGGGTGAGTAGCCAGTTCACTAGGATTACAGAAGTGAAGGGGCAGAAAAAAAATCCTTCCCCCTGACTTTTTAAAGTTTTTCCATGGGAGAAATTTGGGAGAGCACTGAAAAGACTCCTGTAAAATATTGTT